AGGGGGGCGTGCGGACTGTGTGTGTATATCATGACCGGGGCATTGAGGCTCCCTGATGTCGTGACCCATTAGTTTTATCATTATTATTATTGTTATTATTCTTATTCGCTGTATTCTTTTTGTTAGTATTGGTCTTATTAATACCTGTACGACCACCCTTCGGGTGATAAGGAGGTTCGGGGGGGGGGAACCAACGTCTCACTCGATCGGTCTCACCATCGATCTCAGTATCGATCTCACTATCGGTCTCGCTCGATCGATCTCACTCGATCGATCTCACTCGATCTATCTCATTCGATCGATCTCACAATTGATCTCACAATCGATCTCACAATCGATCACACAATCGATCTCACATTCGGTCTCAAGATCGATCTCACTATCGATATCACAATCGCTCTCACAATCAACGTCATCATCATCAACATCATCAACATCAACATCATCACCAACATCGTCATCATCATGAGGGCACCGTCATCATCATCATCATCATCATCATCATCATCATCATCATCATCATCATAAACATCATCATCAACGTCAGCATCATCATCGGGACAACATCATCATCATCACCATCACCATCATCATCTCATCATCAACATCATCATCATCGGGACACAGTCATCGTCATCATCATCAGCAGCATCATCATAATCATCATCATAACCGGGACACCATCATGATCACCATCGTTCTCATCATCAACATTATCATCAACATCGTCATCATCCTCGGGACACCATCATCATGATCATCGCATCATCATCATCGACGTCATCATCATCAACAACATCATCATCACCGGGCCCCATCATCATCATGAGCAACATCATCATCAACATCGTCATTATCATTATTATCATCATCGGGACACCCTCATCATCACCATCATCATCATCACCATCATCATCATCAGCATCATCATCGGGACACCATAATCATCATCAACATCATTGTCGCCGGGACACCATTTCCATCAACATCATCATCACCAACATCATCGGAATCATCATCATCATCATCATCATCATCATCATCACAATTTAATCATCTTCATCATCATCATCATCATCATCATCGGGACACCATCGTCGTCATCATCATCAACATAATCAGCATTAGCATCATCATCCTCATCATCGGGACACTATCATCATCATCGACACCATCATCAACATCATCATGTTCATCGGGACACCATCATCACCATCTCATCATCATCATCATCACCATCATCATCATCATCATCACCATCATCTCATCATCATCATCTCATCATCATCATCATCATCATCATCATCATCATCATCTCATCATCATCATCATCATCATCATCATCATCATCATCATCATCATCATCATCATCATCATCATCCACGCGGGACACCGCGGGACACCGGCGGGGACACCGCGGGACACCGCGGGGCGGGACACCGCGGGACACCGCGGGACCCCGGCCGCCCGGAAGGGAGTCATTTGGTCCGGCCGCGCCTCAGCCACACGGGACACCAGCGGGACACCGGCGGGACACCGCGGGCCACCGGCCGCCCGGAAGGGAGTCATTTGGTCCGGCCGCGCCTCAGCCACAGGAGATTTTCTCTCGCCCGCCCACGCAGCTTCGCCTCGCCCGCACGGCACGCACGAACACGAAACCGAAATCGATTTCCCGGTAGGGGGGCTCTCCGTTCCACTTCGATCTCACCCCCTCACCTCCGACTGGTCTTATTTGTTGCTCATTACTATTATTATATGTATTCGTCTCATTATTATATTATGTTTATATGTTTATTATTTTTATTCGGATTATTATTATTATTGTTATTATTATTATTATATTTTTTCTATATTTTTAATTTTTTATTATTATATGATACTATTGATATTACTATTAGTATAATTATTATTATTAGTATTATTATAATTATGATTAGTATTATTATTATTATCATTATTATTTTTTATTATTATTATCATTAGTATTATTAGTATTATATTACATTGTATTATATCATATCATATTATATTATATTATATTATAATATATTATATTATATTATATTATATTATATTATATTATATCATATTATATTGTATTATTATTATTACAGCACGCTCCCTGGCACACCCACCGTGCGCGCCCATGCCTCGGGCCAAGCGCGCCAAACCCCCCCCTCTCGGGCGCACCCGACCCCTGTCGGCGCTGCTCCTGCAGGCGTCGCTCGACGGCGATTCGATCCGCTTCGTGACCCTCGGCGGGGCGGAGCGCTGCAGGACCAGAGCGAAGTCGAGCCTGTCCCTCTGCAGGAGGCATCTCCCAAGACCGCTCAGAAAATAATAGAGTCTGGGGACGTTTTTTGTTTTTCTCCATGTTTTTTGCTTCTTCTGGTGCATTTCTGCCTGCAGGGGGACATGCCTGCCTGCAGGGGGACCGCCTGCAGGCAGGCATGTCCGCCTGCAGGGGGACATGCCTGCAGGGGGGCATGCCCGACCTGCGACCAGAGCTGTGCCCGCCGCCCGCCTCGCGCACGTCCGCGAGCAGCTGGCGGCCGCGCGCCGCGCGGGCAGGCTGGGCGCCGGGGTCGTCCGGGTCGACGCGGTGCTGCCAGGGGGCCGGCTGCTCAGCGAGGCCGGGGGCGCTTTGGCCGAGGATCGGGACGCTCGAAGCGGGTGCGGAGCAAGTTGCAGAAAGCGAGCGTTTTTTGATTCATGCTTGTGGCCCTCGCACCCCCCGCCCTCCCCCCCCCCCCAAATGGAGTAGCTCTTGGCTGTTTTTTGGCGCCGCGCGGGCGGGCTGGGCGCCGGGGTCGTCTGGGTCGACGCGGTCTTGCTGGGGGGCCGGCTGCTCAGTGAGGCCGGGGGCGCTCTGGCCGAGGATCGTCAGAGCGTGAATTACCTACCCCGCTTTCGCTCCCAGGCAAAACCAAGTCATACCACGCGCCTCCTCGTCAAGCGGCCTGATCAGTACAGGCCGTAGTTTGGCATCGCTTGGTATCGCTTGGAAGCGAGGGTGGTCAAAAGCGAGGTAGGTTTGTTTGCCCCCTAGATCGGGACGATCGAAGTGGGTGCGGAGCAAGTTGCAGAACGCGAGCGTTTTTTGATTCATGCGTTTGGCCCACTCGCACCCCCCTCCCTCCCCCCCCCCATGGAGTAGCTCCTGGCTGTTTTGGGGGGCCGATTTCGAGCGGGTGGGGTCTCCCCTCATAGGACGCACGGTCCCAAACAGTCGCACTAAGCAGGGGTCCGGAGCCAGACCCCCCCTCCACCCCCCTTCCGCCCAATGTCGAAACGCCGAATAGAAAACGCTCACAAAGCCAAGCAGCAGTTCTGGTTCATCCTGAAGCACAGACGTTGTCGGGGTCGCCGCTGGTCGTCGGCCATTTGAGAGACAGAAGCTCGCTTGCCGGACAATGGGCCGCTGTCGGTTTTGGACAGCCTTCGTGGGTGGCATCGTGCCCATGTTTTTCGTATCCATTTGGGGCGTCCGAAGAGGAGACGGTCGCCGATATTTTCGGACTTGGCTCTCCAGGCTGAGCCGCCGCCCCCGCGTAGCAGTGCTCGGTAGCGCCAGCTGCTCAGCAGCGCCTCGGACGAGGCGGCCTCCGGTTGGGTCGGCCCGGCTGGGCCGTCCACTCCCGCGCGGGCCGATGCAGACCCCCGCGGCAGCCAGGACAAGTCGCGACGAAGGAAAGGAGGCACGTCCTGAGGCGAGCGGAGGTGAGAGGAGGAGAGGAGGAGAGAGGAGGAGAGAGGCGGAGGAGAGAGGAGGAGAGGGGAGGAGAGAGGAGGAGAGAGGAGGAGTTGGAGGAGAAGGAGGAGGAGGAGGCGGAGGAGGAATGAGGAAGAGGAAGAGGAGGAGGATGAGGAGGAGGAGGAGGTTGTTCGCCGTTCTGCGCCTCCAGAGGCCCTCCACGGTCCCCAGGAGGCGGCAGAAGCTGCACGGGGGGCCCGTTTACCTCGGGACCTCCACGCTCTTTTCCTGCCCAGAGCCAAGGACGGGGCACTCACCGCCAGCGTGCACAGGGGCGGTACGATGGGCCAAGATTCCACCAACACTACAATAGGTAGGATGGGGAAGAGGGACGAAGGGGATGTGCTCCTCCTCCACCTCTTCCTCCTCCTCTTTCTCCTCGTCCTCCTCCTCCTCCTCCTCCTCCTGCTCCTCCTCCAGCCCCCTCTGCTCAGGAGTTGCAGCTCCAGGGGCTGGAGGGCTCCGCGTCTGCCGTAGACACCACTCTCTGCGGCAGGCCCCCCCCGTAGGCCGCCGTCGCCTCTCGCTTTCACCCATGCAAGCATGATGATGCTAGCCTTGCTTTGTGTGTGGACTCGCTGTGTGAGAGTGGCGACGGACATGTTCACGCTTGTGCATTGGAACGCACAGTTTGCAGATATCGAGCCCTCGCACGATCTCTCAAAGGAGTTCAAGTTTACAAATGCGGTTGCAGTCACAAGCACTGGTGACCGAGCGACACCCGACCGCTCGGCTGTATTCTCCCACTTGAAGTATCATTTCGTGGTCCGACGTGGCTACCTGGCAGGGCGGCACGTCAACAAATCCTGTGGGATCGCGCTGAGTTGGAGGAAGCGGGTGTTCAAGCAGGGCGACGTGTATGATGTACCAAGTGCGCCCGCCTCTCTGCAAAGGGCGCGGTTCAGTGTTTCGTCTTCGTTCTGGGCGCTTCGATGTGCTGATCCCTGTGCTGTATTTTCCTGTTCGTCCGAGTGCAAGGAGCGAAGGTCGAGAGTCTCATGTGCAGGCGACGACGACTGCGACTGCGCATGCGACGTATCGGGCAACGATCGATCTGCCCATTCAGTGGTTAGAACAGATTCTTACCTGGTCGAAGAAACGCTCGGCATTGATGATGGGGTTCGGCTTGAATGACTCGTTCGGGTGGAGGAGGCAGCAGGGAGGCATTATCGACTGGGTGCGTTCGAGTTCCCTAGGCCCGTTTGCGAGGGCTGAGCAGCACCATGCGGCCGACCAGATGCTCGAGCTGCGCGAGAAGCACGGCGTCTCCATCGCGACGA